AATACAACTGGAAAAAGAATGTTATTTTTGTTAAATCATATGAAAAGATTTGAATAAATAAATAAATGCAAATATAAATATTAACATTTTTATATAGAAATTGTAGAATTGCCCCTTACATATTCTATATATACTGCGGTCACGAAAATTTTAAGTTTTTAGCTTATGGAAATAGCAATAAAACTAGTTTTGAAGCAACTTTCGAATTCTTGTTATATGTATTATCATAAAGCTAGTACAATAAAAATCAAATATGGCACATATAAAAAAACCCATATTAAACAAAGGTATAATATTTAAAAAACAAATTTTAGAATGTGTTCATTTTTTAACTTAACATATATATCAGTTATTAAAAATATATTTATTTCAACACAAAACTCAGATGGGCGATTGATTTTTTTAAATTAGTTGAAAATGATTTCCTCAAGTATTTTGATTAAATTATTAACAGCTTTAATTTTTCTGGAAAAACGAAGTATTGTTTTTTGGTAACTAAACATAGAGATAAATTAATTCAAAAAATTTCCTTCAACTGTTTTTGAGCACTTTACATTGTCCAACCACTATTATTATGACCGCAGCGGTATATTATTTGAAATAATTCATATCAATTAATGTGTTCTAAATAGACGTGTGTCTATTTGATTTATTTACTTAGTCACTTCGTTCACGCGCTTATTCGAGGTCCGCTTGAGTTTAATTTGTGAGTATCAACTACTCACCTATTCATTCGCTCAATCAGTGAGTCATTCACTCAGTTATTCACTGGCAGCTGGTTGAATGCCCGCCAGGCGAGTCCTGCTCCCGAACCGCTGTCAATGTCCCTGCCATTGTCCTTCCTCAGCTGTCACTGGCGGGTGGGGCGGGGCAATGAAAATACCTGCAAGGAAATTATACGAAAACTGAACAAGCCAAAAACAACGGAAGGTTGTTATTTTAGAGTTCAAGTTAAAGTTAAGCAGCGCCCGCGGCGCTCGACGTTCTCAACGCTCAGCCAGGACTTCAGAGCAAGGACTCGCAGTTCGGGGGCGATGGGAGCCGAGGACACGCGGATGAGGGCCCAAGAATGAGGACGATGAGGAGGCCAGGGATTGGGTAGATGCGACAGCAATGAAGTGCACTCGAGATGTGAATGGGCTGGAGTGTTTTGGGTGCTCTGTTTGTGTCCCCCCTTTTCTCTCTGTGTCTCATTGCTGCCGTTCGCCAAGCTCTACACTCGGAAAAACAGCTTTTGCGCTTAAGGTGAAATTATTATATTAGGTAGAAAATTATGAAAGTTTATTGACAAATTATTGGACATTGTTTACAATATTTTCACTATATTTTGTATGCCGATATGTGCATTAGGTTTTTTGCTATGCTGATCGTATATTGAACAATTTTCTTTAAATTTCTTTAAGCAGCAAACATTAAAAAACAATAATATTGGCTGTTTCGTTTCATTTTTTTTGGTTACTCTTTAAAAACTATGTAAATGAAGGCCTCTTGGGAAATATACAGAAATCAACAAAACAGTCCTGTAAACATGCCGCCCTTTTTTCTTGAGTGTATACTACCAGCTAGGATATCCTAGGCCACGTTCCATCAAGTTCACCCCCCTTTCCGCCACTCGTTACTCGTATCTTTGTGGAACAATTTTGCCTGAATGCAAGCGGCAAAATGGTTGAATGGGCGAATGAATGAATGAATGACTGAATGGGCATATCCCTGCCAGCCCCGTCGCCCTTCTCCTTCCTCCTTCGTCCTTCGTCCTCCATTCTGCGTCCTGCGAATTTTCCTATCTGCTGGCCCATTCGAATGGCGCTGAAAAGTTTCTCTCACTTTGACTTAAGTGCTCCCACCCCCCTCGGCGCCCCACTCAAGTGAACAATTCGAGTGCTTGTGTGCCGTTGTTGCTGGCGCAATTAGTGAAGAGCGCACTATTATTATTATCATTATGAATTTTAAGCAATCAACTGCGAGAGCAGCAACAATTAAACTTAAAGTTGGCAACTTGCTAACTCCTCCGCCGCCCCTCGCTAACCGAAAAACGTAAACAGTCGGACCGCGAAAAGCTATGAAAATTGAATTGCTGCTCTTCTTTTTTGTTTTTCCCGGGCTTTTCAGCGTATTTATTTTGTTGTTTACCTATGATAATTGTGATGTTTATTTATGGGAAAAGTCAAAAGTGGGCAAAAGGCCACCGATGATGGTATGCTGGCAGAAAATGTGTTCTAGTAAATTGTTTTTCCTATTTTTCCATTCATTATGGTTTTCTTTTTGGTTTTCCTTTTTCCAGCTGCCTTTGGGGTCTTAAATTGCTGAATAGTTGGCTTTATTAAAGTCCTGGTTTATGTTAACGGCATAATAAACAATTAAAAACACCATAGGTCCATAGATCACATATCCCACATATAGTTTTAAATGATCAGTAACAAAAAGACAGAGCGAACACAGTTGACAGAAAATTAAGTAGGGATGAAGATTGTCTTATAAAATATTATAAATAATTTAAACATTATAGACGTTTTGGTAATTATGTAAACCAAATCCGTATTAAGTACACCCAATAAGTATGCCTTGAAAATAAATTACATTCTGTGTGTAAAGTAAAGCATTAATTCAATACTAAATCATATAGCCCCTATACTTTTTAGTTGCATTTCTATACCGAAGAGTCTAAGACTGTAGTCTAGTGTAGTCTTTCGTGGTATAAATTTAATATTCATCTTATTGAGCATTTTTCATACCCAATAGCTTAAAATTCATGTAACAATAGTTAAGTTTCTATGACCATTTTTTGGGTGTAGTCTTGATGGGGAAGTAAAAGCCTATTTGTCAATCCATTTTTGGCCGCTTCAGTTTGTTTTACCATTGTTTGAATGTTACTCTTATCTTTTAATTAGACCGAGCAGAACGTCGCGATTTATGGCTGGTGAGAAAAGGGAAATTGTTGCACAATTAAGTAAACTTCCTTCGGTGCGGATATAATAAGGGGTTTTCCGGGGTTTTCCATCCGTAGTTTGTTGCCTCCGTCTCCGAGCGTCTTTTTCTCTCTTTCTTGGTTACAGCGCAATCAAATTTAACTGTTTAAACAAGCGATGAAAAGATTCTGCCCTTCAACCACACACCACCAGCGCACACACATATGCGACGGGTGGTGCAGTCATTGTCATTGCCGGGAAAGTGGGTGGTGAAAGTGGGTGGTGAATGTGGCTGTGGGTGGGTTGGAAAATGCAAAACAATTTCAGGCGAATTAGCGTAATTGTCTCGCCGCTGCTGTTGCTTCGGCTTCGGTTGCTGCTCCTGCTTCTTCTGAGACAAAAGAGCCAAGAGAAAAGGACGCAGCAGCAGGACTCAAGCTACTTAATCCTCTAATTTGTGTGTCTCTGTGTGTCAGTGTGTGTGTGTGTGCGGGCCACGCCCCTTTTCTGGGCTTTCTGAAGCCCGGGCTAAGCAAAGTTTGCCCTCATTTATATGCAAAAATGTAAACCAAAAAATCAGCGAGAATGTTAAATCCAACAAAATGCATTTAACACATAAAAATTTGCATAGAAAGTGGCTTCGGTAAACCCCGCACCCCCATTTCCCCATCCCCTCCCCCCCGCCTTGGGCACCACATTTCCAGCTTCGAATGCCGCACTATCTAAGTGCGAGTAGCAGAACAATTGAAGTTAATTTTATTTTTATTTTTATTTCCGGCCCACGCTACTTGACTATTATTATACGAAGCCTTAAAGTGTGTATGTGGTTGCCACGCCCTAATTTAGCTCGTTAATTCAGCTAGCAGCTAACCTTCGGTTAATATTCGCCCTTCTAGGCGCCAGTGCATACTTTCAACACTTTCTTTTTAATTATTGGCATCGCTTATGTCTCGTCTTTATCTAAACTAGTTTATTATGCTAAGCATTATGCATGCGTTTGTGCTTGCCACGCCCTAATTTAGTAGGTTAATTCAGTTAGTCGCTAACCTTCGGTTAAAATGCTACCATCTAGGAGCTTCTCTAAATCTTTTATTGTTGTGGCCACATTTTCCCAATTTTTTCTTACAAATTATTGCCATTATGTGTCATCAATATTTAGACAGGTATTTGTATCTTGCTAAGTCTTAAAGAGTGTATGTGCCCTAGTTTAGTGGGCTAACTCAGCTAGCAGTATATCTTCGGACTCTGAATACCTTTAGTTCTCGGAAACATTTTTCACATTTTCTTATGCCATCTTTATTTTAACTAGTCAACTAGTCGATGTTAAAGTACGCAATATTCCTACTTGTTGGACACTTTTTAACATTTCACTTTCGCAGCAGCTATTTGCCCCATGTTCTTTCCATTTTATTTCTGTCCATTTCTTATTATGTATTTGTAACCAATTGGTTGCCAAAACCCCACACTCTGCATTCACGCTCAGTCAATTTTTTGTTGCCACTGCTGCTGCTTCTGCTGCTGCTGCTTCTGCTGCTGCTGCTTCTGCTGCTGCTTCTGTGTCCTTTGTGTTGTTGTTGTTATTGCATGTGTTGAGATTCTCATGGAAATTTGCATACAAATTGCGTCTGGCGCGTAGGAAGCCGTCGGTTTGGTGGGCAATGGCGGGATATAGGATATATGTACTACAAACACAAGCGGAGGACGGGGACAGATGGCCCGACATGCGTGTATGGGGTTAACGAAGGGTTAACACAACACAAAAAACCAAAACCAAAACCGAAACCGAAACCGAAAAAAAAAAATTAAAACATTGCAAGCAACAGCAGCACCTGACAACTGTCAAATTTTGTGGGTTACCATCGATAAATTAAATGGCAGACAACTTTATGACGAAGGCAAGGCAGATTTCTCAAACATATTCATTGAGAATATTACTTTATAGTTTTCAAGGGCCTCATAAATGGCAACATAAATTTAAAACAATGAAAATATATGTATATATTTGAATCACGGAAATCGCAAACATACTTTTAAAACTTTATTAATTGTGAGGAAGCTAAATCACAAAGTAGTCGAACACGGTCAACTTTTGACTTTGACTCCATTAAATCTTAAATCAAATCAGCTGGTTTGACTGAAACACATCACATTGAAATACTGGATCATACGCATTTTAGGACTTTCATTGAAATGGACAGCAGTCGCAATATTGAGGATATCATTTGGACAATTAAGCACGGGGAGTACGATGAGGTGGAGCGCGTTTTCCTGGCCGGATCGCATAATGTGAACGACCAGATGGGCGTCCGGTACCCGCTGCACTACGCCGCCGACTTTGGCCAACTCAAGCTGCTGAAGTTCTTCGTGAGGATCGGGGCGGAGGTGGACCGGAAGGACCAGTATGGGGTCACTCCGCTCCTGGCGGCCATTTGGGAGGGCCACACGCGCTGCGTCGAGTTCCTGCTCCGGATGGGCGCCAGTCGGTCGGAGCGAACGCCCCAAGGACAAAGCTACTTGGAGGCTGCCGAGCAGGAGGACATTCGACGGCTCCTGGCGCGGGAGTAAAATCCTCGGGGACTCTAATTGATCACTTTTAGTTTTGTAAATTCATAGTTCGCCATATGGAGATATTTTCGTTTTTTTGGTTTGTCAGAAAGAAAACTAGCTGGTTGTAAACGGTGCATCGGTTGTGATATGTGTATACATTTGATGGTTCAAAGCATAGTCTGCTCTTTGAAAAACAATGGAAGACTTGAGAGTTATGAGAAGACTTTAAAACTTAAAAAACTAAGTCTTCAGCTAAGAATTAAAAATACTTAGCTTACAAAACAGAAGGAACTCAAACTCAATTGTTATTTTTGGGGTTAAATTGTTTAACTATAACGCTCTGGTTTTATTCATTAATATTGGGAAGTATTTACAAATAAGGTCAGTAACAAACAGTAGCCAAAAAGCATGCGTTGACCAACGCAGAGCATTTACCAACTGCTCTGGGCCCAGCCGCCCTGGGGAGCCCAACCGCCGGAGGAGTAGCCGGAGCCACCGCCATGGCCACCGCCGTAGCCACCGCCGTAGCCACCGCCGTAGCCGCCGCCATGGCCGCCGCTCGATCCGGAGTCGGAGATGACCTTGATGATCTTAATGTTTCCGCCGCTTCCATAGCCACCGCCGCCGCCGCCGTATCCGCCGCCACCGCTGTAGCCACCTCCGGAGGACCAGCCTCCGCCATGGCCGCCGCTGTAGCCACCTGAGGAGCCACCTCCGTAGCCACCACCGGCGGACCAGCCGCCTCCATGGCCACCGCTGTAGCCACCTCCGTAGCCACCACCGGCTCCAGAATCGGTGATCACTTTGATGATCTTAACGGTGCCGCCGCTGCTGCCGCCATGGCCACCTCCGTAGCCACCACTGTAGCCACCGCTGTAGCCACCACTTCCACCATGACCACCGCCGTAGCCACCGCCATATCCTCCGCCCGAGGACCAGCCAGAGCTAACGGCACTGCCGCCTCCACCGCCGCCGCCCAGGAATCCCGCATGGGCCATACTGCACACCGCCAGCAAGCAGACGAAAACCTGCAAGAGATTGACAGGAATCGCGTTAATCGAACTCCTTTTTACGAGAAACTCACAAAGTCACACATAAAAAAATTTGAAAAAAATAAAGATTCGCTTTCTTCGAATGTGTTAAACCGCGAAATGTTTTCTTTTTTATATTTTTTTTTTCAGCCAGAGCTTGGCGCACCTTCATGTCGACGTGTTTGGAGATTGATTGTTGGGAAGAACTGCGACTGTGTCGGGCTGGAAGGGCGATCTTCGACTGTGGTCTGCAGCGTTTTGGCCGCCGCTTTTATGGCCAGCGAATCGGATGCTGGGTAACCAGCTTGGCTCACTTTGCCCAGCCCTGCCCTTCCCCAACTGCTGTGGCGCACAGTGGGCACAATTCCACCAAGACTGAAGTGGGCAACTGAGGCAAAGAGATTGAGATACCGTAGATTGAGATAAATGTAAATGTAATATATAATAATTTACCATTCGCAGTCTTAGCTATGAAAAGTTCTTTGTTGAAAGAAGGTAAATACTTAATGTTCAAATTGTTAAAACTGTAATATCTTATTACAGAAGATAAAAAAATAATAATAATAATAATAAATTATTGTTTAAAAAATACAACGAGCACAACTTCTTTTTCATATCCATACGTAAGATTTTAATAGATAGTGTTTTATCCCTAAGGGTTTACCTAGCTTATGATCTAGCCAAAGAATAAATAACACCGCTTAATGCCCTATAGAATCCAGAAAAAAATAATAGCCGAATTCCTTAAATAAACCAATTAAGTACCATGGCCTCTAAATATACAATCAAAATATGATGGTTAGTAAGATAAAATCCACTGTTTCACATCTATATAGTCAATGGCTTTGTTTTAAAAACAAATTTTTAAATGACAATTAATAAATAACATTAAATAACAATAAATAAATAAATGTAATGTTACTATAAATTCTATTTAGGGATGATTTCTTTTATAAAAACCCAAATGAATTGTCCCAAAATATATGGAAACGGTATCACTGTGTGGAGTCTGCCCGTGTATGACACACTAATTGCCGGTCCACGCGATGGTCTGTTCGCGTTGTGGCATCATCATTACCACTGCCATCACCATCAACATGTCTGCATAAGGGCAACGGCCCTGACCCCACCTCATCCCGGTAACCTCCACCTCCACCTCCACATCCACATCCACATCCACCTCGACCACCCCATCCCAACCCATTCCATTTCATCTCCACCCCGAGCTAATTTATGTCTCGGACTATGTTGCAATCCGGACAGCTGAAGCTGTCAAGTAAGCCAACTTGCAACGCAGGTCGGCGGAAACCGTTCCCCAAAGATACTGCACTTGCCGAGGTAAGACCATTTGATAGCGCATTTCCAGCTCGTTATGCAATTCACCCAAATCGGCACAAAGTTGCAAAAATAATAAACAATAGCTGCCCGCAGCTTGATCCAATGAACAGGTAGCGATCACACCACTGGCCAGTGATGGAGATTTTATATGGAGTGTACCCACCCAAGTCCCTTAAAACTAGGTACTTATTTTCGGTACTTTTTATTTTTAGCCCAATGGCCAAATCTAATTTAATGCAATGAGCTTCACTTGACTTTAACTATAAATTACAAATAAAAGGGGTTTGTGGAAGCTCTTCAATTAATTATAGTATATTTTAACTTATAACAGAGCTCAAGATCTGTGCAAATATTACGATATAATTCAGGTAACATATAAGTGCAACTAAGGCATCTCTGTGCCCGGCACAATATCGATCTTGATTGATTCAGCCAACGCGATCGGGGCACCATTAACTCTCGGGTCAAACAGAATGCTTATTAATTGCCGGTCCCGCCGACTCGATTCGGTTGCAGCCAACCTTCACTTCTCGATCTGATAGATGAGCCATACATTTCCCGCCGATTGTCGGCGATTTCATGTTCATGTTCGAGCGGATTGGCCCTCGGCGTCACGAAACACGAAATTACCGAATCAAGGAAAGACCATCTGTAGAACATTTAGAAAGGCTATTGTATAACATTTATTTTGGGCCTACATTAACAAAGCGGGCTGATAAGTGTTACATCACTAAAGAACTGGTTACCAAAAAAAAAACCCAATCAAACCACGCAAAATTTTCAAATATTCCATCACAAATTATTTTTGCTCACCAATTTTCTATTAATTTGATTAATATTAAATATTTTTCCCCAGGGTATTTTTGTTTGATAATTCATGAATAGTATTTTTTTAATTCAGTTTTTCACTGGAAAACATTTTAAAGGCCAAGGCTGACTGAATATAAATGCAGAAACAGTTAAAAACATTTAATGCACTAGCAAAAAACTATTATCGATAATGTATTTCAGTTAAGACAATCGGAACACATTTATTTTTTGGCATCCACATTTTATAATGGTTTATTTTAATCTTTGAGTTATTGCCATGCAATAAGTGATTTTTTAAAAGTGTCTGATGGGTTTTAAAGTTATTTTTACATTTTTTTGAACTGCCGAATGACCTCTTTAAATAAAGCAGTAAGTCCCAACATTAGTGTAATCTAAAATAATGTTCGATGACGAGTAATGCATTTATATAACAGTTCAGCAGTTTGGTGTTCGTAAAATATATTTATGCTGGGAAATCGAATACAAATCGAATTGGTAGCGCTGGTAAATATGCATGAGATTAAATATATATGCAATCTTAATTAGACACCCCATCATCTGAGTATCCATTAATTAAGCCATAAAATATGTATGCTGATGCGCAAAAAAAAAAACCGAAACCCACGAATTTGTGGATAAAAACAAAACACGAAGAACTGAAAGACTTAAGTCCGTTTTGGATCGAGACTAACACTCGGCCCATACAAAACTAGTTACGCCACAATCAAATCCCATAAATATAATGATGGAAATTCAATACAAAACCGAGACGCATCCGCAATTATATATTTTGGTGGGGGATTTACTTGTCTCACAGCATGGCCAGAATGGACATAATTACCAGACGATAATGGTTTCGATTTAACCTTGAGCTTAACCCACATCGTGCTGAGGATACAAAGCTTAATCGTGGCTTGAACCAACAAAAAATTTCCACGTTTTAAAAGTAATTGAATTAGCAGTGTATATATGTTTAATAGAAAGTGTTTGAAATCATAAAAATATGTCAAGTAAAAGTATTAAAGTAAAGGCGAATTAACAAGCTTATGGTCAACAATTTGTCATTCAATTTGAAACTTTAAAAAAATTGCTAAGTAATTTTGTAGCCTTATGTGATATAATATACCACTTGAATTGTTAATGGTACGTTAGAAATAATATGGCAAACTGGTTTTCAATATTTTATGGGTTAAGTGAAGAGTGAAACCGGCCAACATAGATGCCCAGAAAAACCCCCGTACATGAGTAATCATTTAATGGCTCTTCCCAATCTGTAGACAAAGAATGAGGCAGTGTTAGTTGTTTTTTTTTTCTTTTTATATTTTGTAAGCAATTAACAAAAAAAAAAAATAATGCGTTTCTAAGCGCACACACAAAACGCGTGCACTATCTTAAACATAACTTCGTAACATCAAAAAGTCCAATGTCGCTACACAACTCAAACAACAGGAACAAAAGAGTTGACGTCAGCGCGCTGGATTGCCTGGTGGATCTGGCGGGATCGTCTGGTATCCGCTTAGTTCCAGCCGGAACCGCCGGAGGACCAGCCACCGCCGGATGACCATCCACCACTGGGAGCGCCAGCGGACCAGCCGCCTCCAGATCCGCCGGAGGACCAACCGCCGGAGCTACCGCCATCGGCGATTCCGGAGCTGATCAGCTTGATGATCTTCACATCCTCGGTGTGGTGGTCGTGGCCATGTCCTCCGCTGGCGTAGTTGTACCCGTGACCATGGCCATGGCCGTGACTGTGATCCTCCTCCTGGATGACCTTGATGATCTTAACCTCGGAGCCGTGGCCGTGACTGTGTCCATGATCATGACCGTGGGAGTGGGAGTGGCCCCCTTCGCTGATCACCTTGATGATCTTCAGCTCCTCGGCAGCGTGGCCATGACCGCCGGAATATCCACCGGACCATCCGCCGCCGCTGTGGCCAGCCTCCTCGCTGATGACCTTGACGATGGTGGGTGGGGCACCACCGCCACCACCGGAGGACCAGCCACCACCACCTCCGCCGGATGACCAGCCACCACCACCGCCGCCGGAGGACCAGCCACCACCACCGCCGCCGCCGGATGACCAGCCACTGCTACCACCGCCTCCGATGAATCCGGCTTGGGCCACGGCGAAACAGGCAATCAGGCAGACGAACACCTAATGTTAAATGAATATTATTATATTCTGATACCAAATCGAATGCATTTTAACCAGAGCTCGTGGGGAGGAGTTCCTTCCTGGGGACATACCTTCATTTTGTTGTCGGCTAGACTTGGGTTGAACTGGCACTGGACGATTAACGAAGTGGGATTGGGGAGCTGAGCTCGAAAACTGATGACAATACTCTGCCCTGCGGCTACTATTTATACGGCTGAGATGTGGGTCACTGCGAAGAGAAATGCTCGCCCCCCTTCCCCCCCTCCCCTCCATCTCTTCAAAATCCCAATCCGAGCGTGACATTCGCTGACCCAAACGACATTACTAATGCACCGATTTTTCCAAAGAGTCTTAATCAGCTTGGGCAATTAATCAAATAGGTCCAAAGGTTATGTGGGTCTGGTGTTCTCCCGACTGGAGTGTAAATTAGAGGTGCCACAACTTGAAAGGCTTAATGCTGCAAGCCGCATTTAGGACCGATTTCTCAATGTCATGTTAAAGTTCTAGTTGGTAATTTGTCAGAGAAGTCTAATTGTTCGCAAACACATATTGGCCCATGAATTTTAAAGAAATTAAAAACCGCCAAGAAAAGTTATTATCTTTTTATTTTTTTAAATGGTTTTCAACCAGAACATTGCCTCTAGCTAGAAGTTTTCAATTTGATAAACTCCCACAAGACTTTGAAAAAGAAAATGTTTACGAAACAGAGATTTTTACCCAATTTCAAAACTTAACTTGACATAGGCTATTTTGTCATCTTTTTTCATTTTATACCCTTGCAGAGGGTATTATAATTTCAGTCAGAAGTTTGCAACGCAGTGAGGGAGACATCTCCGACCCTATAAAGTATATATATTCTTGATCAGCATCACTAGTAGAGTCGATCTAGCCATGTCCGTCTGTCCGTCCGTCTGTCAGTCTGTCCGTCCGTTTATATGCAAACTAGTCTCCCAGTTTTAAAGCTATCTGCATGAAACTTTCCCAAAAGTTGTCTTTCTATTGCAGGTAGTATATAAGTCGGAACGAGCTTTAAAACTGAGAGACTAGTTTGCATATAAACGGACGGACAGACGGACAGACGGACAGACTGACAGACGGACAGACGGACGGACAGACGGACATGGCTAGATCGACTCTACTAGTGATGCTGATCAAGAATATATATACTTTATAGGGTCGGAAACGTCTCCTTCACTGCGTTGCAAACTTCTGACTGAAATTATAATACCCTCTGCAAGGGTATAAAAATTATAACTTTTCTGTTTTTTAATTTTTTGTTCAGTTCTTCGACATATAGCAATGGTTAAATATTTCAGAATTATGGTTTAGATTTTATCAAAATCGGACGTCTATATCATATAGCTCCCATACAAATAATAAAAATATATAAAATAACTATCAAATAATTGAGCTGCTAATCATCATAGCTTCAATGTTTTTAAACATATACGCAGTAAATCATAATTTTAATGTTTTCAAAAATGTTAAATTCTTGCAATAGCTGCAAGGGTATATGAACTTCGGCTTGCCGAAGTTTGCTTTCTTTCTTGTTTCATTTTAAAATAAAATCTAATTTGTCGTGAAAGACGCCGCCTTGGCAACACTATTTCAGACTATCTTCACACAGCTGGTTGCCCTGGGCGGAAAACACCTCAACAAGTGTTCCATCGTGATTTGATTTTGCCACCGACCGGTTTTCGCGTTTTGCGTTTTACGATTCGCGATTCTCTTTTTTCGCACTAGACTCACTTTCGTGCACCAAATTGGCAAGACACTTTAGATGACCGAATTATGCAAATCGTGGCGTGGGTCAAAGAGAAAGAGACCATAATCAAAGCCAAAGCCAAAGCCAAAGCCAGCCCAGCCACTTACTATTGCGTATGCACATTTGCTTAATTAAGCGCCAAACATCGCCACTGAAATGCAGAGAGCTTGTTTTCGGTGTCTCGCATGAGACAGACGATTAATATACATCCCAAAACCCATTTGGCAACTTTCTAGCCGCTTTGTTCATTGTTTTCTGGCATTGTACTCGTTAGCATCACACATATTTATCTTTATTATTTTTCTCAGCCAGTCCAATCACATTCTGTAATGACTCCAAATATTTTCACTAGACTCCATGGTTACCACATGGTGTACTTTAGTCGGTGTAACTAGATTTTTGGCCTTGCTTGCATCACCTTTACCTACTGATGAAGTGGCAGCAAATATTGATGGGATGATCAGCATATTTGCAATAGTCGACACTTTGAGTTGCAAACAAAGCGCTTGCTGATTTGTCGTTGCAGAAAAATGAAAAGCATTTCCAAGCAAGTTATGAACTGGTTTTACCGAAAATATTCGAAATATGTTTGTTGTTAAGCGGTATCATGTTTAAAAAGCAAACTATTTGTACAAAAATGACTCATTATGTGGTGTTTAAAATTGTAAAAAATATCTTCGAAATTCCATGTAATGTTACCTCCCCTCCCCTCCCCTCCCCGTATGCCATTAGTTTCGCTTTATCATTGTTATCCTTGTGTATGGCGTTTAATATGCAAATCGGGCTCACGCATGAACGCCCAAACATATGCAACAAGACACGAAGCAGGCGAAATGCGATAAATATGTTGATGTGGTCGTGTTTTTCCACTACCACCCACCATCAACCACCACCACCCACCAGCAGTCGCGTTCTTTCCATGCGCATTCTTCATTAAAAATAATGAAAATTGAATTCAATTCGCTTGTCGGGCCTAATTATAATTATGTTAATGGCGCATGTTTTTCCACAAAATTTACACAATGTTTGTCCAAATCGTCAACGGATTTTCCATCAGGTTAGAGAGTGCATTGCGGGCAGTTGGTATCGGCGAAATCATGTTTCGTTCCATTACATATCGTGGCAGGATTCTTGTTTGGTTTAGTTAACGGGCGCTAATTGGAAGTGCTTTAAACTGATTTTAAATACGCATTATTGATGGCACAAAAGAATTTCATATTACCATCAGATATTGAAGAACATAAAGGATGTTGTTTTTATTTTAAAATATTACAAAGCCAAAAATTTTTAACAAGAAAAACTTTTTATTCACTGATGCTAATAAATATTAAAGAGTTCAAAAGATAAAGTCGTGCAAACATTTTTAATTTTTATATTAATTGTATACTTAATCATAGTTAAGCTGATCCAAAAAGTGAAGATTTAATCGCTCACTTGAAAATTATCCACTTTGCATCTCAACCTTATTTACAATTTCTTCTTCAATTCCCTTTGATTTTCTCTCCAGTCAAAAATCATCCGCTTGTCGCTAATTTTCCCACTTTAGTTTACCAAACGACATGGAAACAATCGCTGAGCTTTAACCAAACCAAAATCGGGGTGCAGAGGGGGTGTGGCATTTCGGTTTTTGGCCAAGTTGGTTACAGCGATTGAATTTAATTAGCTTATCATGAAAGCGTATTCCACATAAATTTATCAAAATTGCTTTACACAGCAGTCACAGACACAGAGGCTTCCGAGGGGGGTACAAATTGCATTACGACCCGCCCATTAAACTGATAAAAACGAGAGCCTGGAGTGGTGGGTGGGGTTTTATTTTCGAATGGGAATGGAAAAGGGAAGGGGCAAAGGGGCAAAGGGGGCTGAGCGACACTTTAAAGTTGATGGCTCGAGAGAGAATCTAAAATCAAATTTATTAACGCACATTACAACGGGCTCACTTCATGGCACAGCAGGGGGAAAGGGGTGGTGGTGGTGGTGGTGGTGGCGGTCCATGGGCGGAGTGCAAAGGGGTGGCTTCAAAACAATACAAAGGCCGTTGCTTTTTGTTTTCCGGCTTCGCGTGCGGATATGTATTAATTTTCATGCCTGTGAAAACTCAAGAAGTGTAGTGTTAGTAAGCAGTCCAAGGTTTGAAAATACTTAAAATCTATTTCGGGTTTTTAAAGTTTAAAAGCACTTTTAAAAAAATGTATTTAAAAATAAATATTACTTAAATACAAATAAACCAAATCTTAAAAATATGATAGTAAAAATATGCAAATAATAATTTTTTTAAGACGGTCATTTATTTTAGCTGTTTATTATTGTGATCAGGTTACTTTAATATTGTCTGTGATTTAATTGAAACGATTTCACTTTGAAACCCAGTCGACACAATACAACAATCGTTTGCCTGACTTTATTTTACCCTCGGCTTATTCCACCCAAGTGGCTGCATTGATACCGACACACATATCCGCATCGTTATAACCAACCATTAAGCCATGATTACTGCGCCGTGAAGGTGACACCCCATATGGCTTGCACCCGGAAAACTCCACCCTCCACCCTCCACCCACCACCCTCCCGCCCCCACCTCCGCACACGGTGATTTCCACGCACCTTAAGCCGCTTGGCAAAGTTTGGTCGACTTATTTCGCCTTATCGACGAGGCTTTTGAGGCACCCACTTTGATAGCTGGCCAACTGTGTTAATTGATAAGCAATCGCTAATCGCGCGACGGCAGTAGCGGCAGAAAGAAAGTGTGGGGGAAAGTGTGGGGGAAAGTGTGGGGGTTGGACTATAAAAGTGTTTTTGCACTCGATGCGTTTCCGCAGACTGCCGACTCTTTCTCACCTTTTTGCCGTCTCTTTTGCACTTTCTGGCATTCGCTTGTAGTGTCAACGCGATTATGATGATTATGCCGCTTCAGGGCATATATAATGGAGGTCGAAATAATAGCAGTAAGAATTTGAGACATTAAGGGTATTCCTATAAATCGTATTGCTCAAGAATATACCCACTACAAAGTATTTACTAAGTTTACTAAGAACATATAATTTTAAAAATGATCTACTTTAGAATATAAATATATGAAAATTAATTAATTTTTTAAGTTTTATAGTAAAAATCGATAAAATGAATCTTAACAGATGGTTTATGGGCAATTTCTTAAACTATCAAACGACATAAGACTAAACCTTAAGAAGGTCAATCTAAACCATTCTTGATTATATTTGCAACACGTGCTTAGCTTGATAAAAACAATCTTTTGTGCATGTGGCATTAGAATACCATAAAATCAAATTGAAGCAAATTAAGACTGAACTTAATCTGATATTATTAACTTATGTATTATAAAAATTAAAGGCTAAAATTCTATGTATATGTATATCACATTGAAATTTGCTTTTATGAGTTATGACT